GGTCGGTCCAACCGCGCAAAATCTCGTTTCCAAGTCTCGAGGTCGTCAAATCTTCACATAAGAAACGTTGGTCGCAACCGCAAGTCGAATCGTCGTTCAAAAACGACGGAAAATCTTCAAAATCGTGTACCGAGGCCGTATACGGATAGTCGTCGCGGTCGATCGAGGTCGGGAGGTAGTCTGGCGTGCATGGTGAGGCCGAGGTCGTCATTGGTGCCCAGGGAGGGCTTCCAGGCAGAAGATTGGGCTCATTAGTGCCCAAAACCGTTCAAAATTGGTCAATAACGCACCTGTGGACCCTCAATATACTCCTTTATACTCCTTTAGGCTTCCCTTGGGCTGTAGGATGTTGAAAGAGGCAGGGGAGGGCAGGGGAGAGCAAAGGGCAGGTGCTGTGGGGGGGGATGATGGTGGTTGATGGGCAAAAAGGAAGGAGGCTGCGCCCAAGCTGGGGCACATTGTACGGCGTCGTCCATGACGTCGTCATAGGCTGTCACAACGACGACGACGACGTTGCACGACGTCGCACGACGTCGTCTGAATAGATAGGCTACCAATTGGAAATTTTCACTCTATTTTTTGCCTTACCTATGCGCGACTTAGACGTTCCTGAGCACCCAGCGCTTACCCACCGGCCGGAGCCTCCCGGGCGCTCACAAGCGCTTACAAATCCCTCAAGGCACACTCCCCGGCGCCTTAACTCTCCTTTCCTCAAATCGTTCTCCCTCATTCAAAACTCCCTCAAACGGGACTTAAATTAAGTTAAGTTAAGTTAAGGGCCCCTCAGTACGGGGGCCCATACTTAAGTTAAGCTGGCGTCGATTACCCAAAATTCGACCGTGACGATTCATACCAAGTTGTTGCCTTCTCCGAATATAGAACAGAAGCGCAGCCATGATGGTAATGGCTGATAGGCCCCCGACTACACCACCTGTGATTGCTCCAGTGTGACTGGAGCCCTTGGTATCTACGGCTGGGTCGCTAGTCATTGCCGGAGGTGCTCCACTTCCAGACCTAGATCGTTGTTAGTGATATCTATACAAGCTTTCGTTGAGGGAAATGAATCATACATGAACACAGAAGACGGAGAGGAAGTGGTTTGAAATCCTTCTGGAAGAGAGGTGGTACCGCTCCCATTCTCAGTCTTAGTGGGTGTTTGCGCTGGCGACTCTTGCGTTTGTGATGGTGGCGAAGACGGGGTTTCGATCTGCGTCGTCGATGATTCGGACGTCTGGAGTGTCTGTACCAAGAGAGTTTGTGGCAGGAGCTCGAAGTATCTATCGCGTGAACTGAGAACGAGCAATCAGTTGAACCGAGAGAGATAGCGGTTTTGATGACTTACTCCTCGTCAAGGCTCGGCGAATACCCACTCCACCCGTCTATCGCAAGCACGCTGTTTCGAACGACAATATGAGAAAATGAGTTGAGCCCAAGGTAACGGACACTTACCCAGGAACCATTGGGATCATAGTATACGTACCACTTTTGCTCTCACCGACCTTGACAACGCTTTCTGTAGTAATCGTTCCGGAGCATGACGCTGCAAACTGAATGTATGCTGATGCCGAGGATAGGTCAGACTGGTCTCGATGCCAAGCAAATGTGAAAGGTTGGGAAAGAGTGACAGTCTTTGGGAGCGGTGTTTCGACTTCGAAAGATCCTGCTTGCGGTAGCCACAAGAAGATCATCGAAAGTGATACTCTAGCAAAAGAAAGTTTCGTCAGTCTCTCTGTAGGTCGGATAAGTTCAGTGCTCACCGAGGGGCTTTTTCCTTGAGAATCATACTGCCTCTGGGATTCAAAGGAAATGAGAAGTTTACAAGGGTGGAAATTTGAGGGGATATGGGAATATTGACTATATATGTCAAAACTCAACGTTCGACCATCGTAGCCAAAAATGATTTCCCTTCAGCTACCGGGATGCTACCGTTTCTATCTCGAGGCTTCAACTGACTGTATGATCGTAGTACTCCATTCGAAAAGATGATCAAAATGTCGAGCAGAGGTTTGCAGGGCCGCATATACCGCGAGTTGGAAGACGACCTGGGTGTCGGGCAACATGTCGTTCGCTCCGGCGGTTCTCTTGACAATAACTTGGAGCAGAGAGGACGAGTTCGTGATCAGAGAATTCCTGAAGGATTCCTAGCCGCGCAACAGCGATGGCGTGGAAGTAACCTCGATTTTGATACCGATCACATCATGGTAGTGAGAACTAGGTACTCTAGGCAGTGATTTTGCATCAACGGCGCGACCATCACCTTTCGTAGAGATGGTTCTCTTGACGAACATGATCGTAGAGCATGCGTGTGATTGTATGTCCTCTTCAATAGTTCCTGATGATAGATAACGTTCACCGGGGCGCATTCCTGGGTAATGAGATTTCAGCTAGTTTGTAGGCGAAAGTGAGAGTAAGGATGAAGGTAATGATGGTTTGCGACCCAGTGCTTTGCCACGTGGCTTCTTATGAGTCTTGACCTACCCTCAAGTTAGTCGGTCGAACTATCTTTACACCGAAGTTCGACAGAAAGTTGACTCATGAACACGGCGTTCGTTTCGAACCTGCTTATGCAGCATCTTACGTGGGCTCCCAGACGTTCTGATTGTTGGTATGAATGAAAGTGTGGGCGCAGCTTCCGAAAGATAACCGAGCTTGGCAAGAGATGATTCAAAACGCGCAAGACCGGCGGAAAATCAGAGTCAGCACCTCCCGGGCGGTTGTTGCCCATGCTTCAGATCTGAACGAATTCAGCAATGACAAGCCGATTATTTCGCGATGCAACCGAGTTGGAACAGATCATAGCAGGGGATATAGCTCAGTTGGGAGAGCAGCAAACTGAGGTGCTCGTGAGGTTCCAGTGAGTTGTTCTGAAGGTCCCGCGTTCAATCCGCGGTATCCCCAATAATACACACGAATGACTTGACTTCTTATAGCTGTGCTTTCGAGCTATCGGTTTCTGTTTCTGGTTGGTCGGCAGCAGGAAGTTGGGATACCTTAGGGACCAGAGATTTGGGCGCATCGTCATCACAAAACCTCCCTCAATATTGCCTTACTGCCGCAAAGGCAGTAGTCTCCTCCAGAGATTCGATGGGATCCCAATTCAGAGCTTTAGACGACGAGAAAGCACAGGTAAGGTTGTAGAATCATGAAAATGCGCAATGTCAATGAGACGCTCCCAAAGATGACCAGGGACGAGTTCAGCTAAATAGTTCGGCTCGGGTATAAGAACACCGACCCGTTTCACCCGTTCACCGAGCTCAATCCTGTCCCATTGGCACCGATACCCGCGGAAGCATACGTTGGTGGAGGCATTTCAATCTCAGCCTCCAACCTCGCAACTCTTTGCGCCATCTCCTGAAATTGCATCCTGAGCAGCGGTGGTATCTCTTCGTCAGGCCCGGCATTGAGGTATGTCGTTGTCAGTGACTGGGACGACGGCAAACGTAGCGATTGGTTCCACTCTTGGCTTCTGTGCGGTGATGCAAATTGTCTAGCGGCGAAAAACCTCGACTTCTGGCTAGCATTCGGATAGTCGGAGGGCGATAGAGGACGCGCTACAATGTCTGGTCGAGGTTGGTGCCCTGTCAAGTCGGAATATTCGTTGACTTCAAGCAACGGCACAACATATAGTTTTAACGTACGCACCTCGTTTTCTTCTACGGATACACAATAAGAGTGTAACAGCGATGATAGCCGTTATTAGAGTCCCGATCACACCGCCCACGATTGCCGTGGTACTATTCTGGCGCGGGAAATGAAATTTTTCTTGATTTTTCGCTCCGTGGCTTCTGTGTGAGACCCATGACAATATAAACCTAATAGACGTATTGGACATAGAAAAAGATGGTTAACCTGATTTTCTGAGATTTTTAGCTCCCCCCCTCGTTGTGTCGGGCAGTGACCGAGCAGGGCGCGAGAAGTGAAATCGCTTGGCGTCACGAAATGTCACGCCTGATATGCGCTTGATGGCCATCAATTTCGCATCACCTCCGTGAGTACAGTTTCAGTCTGTTTTCATTCCTCAACGCTCACCGAGCTCGCTCCTGCCCTCCTCCCCCTCCAAATTTTGGTTTGTAGACACTTTCGATATGCCCTTACATACCTAGGTACTTACCCCGTGGACTGGACGCAATGATGATTGGTTCCTGAGCTGTCACGCCCCAATCACACCCTGAATTCTGAGGTTTTTCGCCTCCCATTCTCGTTCCCTCCAAGCTGAGGACTAGTGGTGATAGAGACATGTTCTTTTGTACCATAATTTGCTTAGAAAAAATTCTCGAGGCGGGAAAACGGCGGGAACAACATTTTTCACGACCGATTTCATTACCCTGCCCGTTTCATTACGGGTTCCAGAATAGTATGGGACCTTCTTGGAATTACGTTTGAGTTGCTACTCGAGATTGGAGCTTCACTACCGGGTCCGGATTACTATTAGTGAGTACGTTGAAATAGAATGATCATACGTGTATACAGATGATGGAGAGTAGGTGGGTTGGATACCACCTTCCTTCCAACTGTAGGGAGACGTTTGCGCTAGCAGTCCTGGCGTTTGCGTTTTCGGTGATACTCCGTATCCCTCGGGAGTCTGGGATGCCTGTACGAGGATCTTGTGTGTGGGGGAATAGGTTGATAATGCGCTCTCCCCGTTTGATGCATACCCGCTCCGCCTGTCTAGATTGAATTCACTATCGCGAGTACCAATATTCAAGAACTAGCAAAGGCGAAGGAGAAGAATACCCACCCGAATGCCGTCGGGGTAATGGTATAAGTGGCTCTCGTGTTCTTACCGAAATTGGAAATCCGTCGGGTCACGGTTGAATTGGGATATAATTCTCGAAGTCGCACGCCTGCCGAAGCTCGGTCTAAGTTGTCTCGAAACCGAGTATAAGTGAAGGAGGGTTGGGAAAGAGTGACAGGGCTTGAGAGGGCTGTTCCTAGTCTACGAGATTCCGCTCGTGGTGACCACAAGCACAGAAGCCATAACCTAGCGAAGAAAATGCTCGTCAGCTTTTTCGCATTATGGAAACATTCATTACTCACAGAGAGCGTTGGCCGATGAGTATCATACTATTTCCGCGACTCGAAAGGTTATTCGGAGGCCAAATCAAGGAGAGAATATGAGGATATAGAGAGTATCTCTCCAACGAGCTGCCTGTCATCATAGCCAGACTGGCTTCCTTTTAACTACCTGAGGCCCAAGGTAGTACTGTCTCTGTGAACCTCTTCCATGTGCTGTCTCACATGGGCTGTATGATCCTAGTGTTTCACTCGGGAGTCGGGAAGATGTATGCTGAAAGTGATAAGCCCGCATAAGCTGTCCTTTAATAGAGAGTGTAGGTGGACGACCGGGACAGATGTATGAAGCCTTTGCACGCCCCAGCGGTTTCCTTGAAGAAGGCCCAACTTGATGACAGGCTCGTAAGTGCAGAACCCCAAGACTCTTAATCCGCGCAAGAAGAAGGATGGGAATCTTGATTTTTGATACTGAGCGCATGACGGGAGCAATGAACGAGTACTCATGCAACAAATTTCGAAGCCAGGATGTGACCATCACTGATCATAAAAGGATGATTTGACGAACATGATCTTAGAGCGTTTGTGTGGCCATATGCGCTCCCGAGATGGGCAACAGCGTGTGTTAGAGAAGCACATACGCCAGCAGGACGAGATCTCACCTGATGTGAAGGCGAAAGTGAGAGTGAGAATTTCAGACTGAGATCCGAAACAGGCGGCTGTATGCAGCGTTTTGCCACGTGGCTTTTATGACTCATGACCTGCCCTAAAGTCGGGTTTCGGGAGGTGGGCATACAGTTCTTTCGGCCGCTCACATATCTCTACATCAACCATGGCGTTCCTCACCAATACATACCAGGTTTTTGGCATTGCCACCTCCGCCTTCCTAGTCTCGCCATCTTCTCCACCTTATCATCACCCAGCTGACGGACTGAAACCTGCTCCAACTTCCACGTTCGCGCGGGCCCCAAAATACTCTATTATGGAGGTCGAATGGCACTCGAACTGGGAGGTAGGACCAGAAATACAATCCTACTACATCCCTACAAGATAGAATGACCGAACCTGTAAGACTTGAGGTGTACGTAGGGGAGACCTTCCTTTCTACCTGTCTCTACCTATAGGACTTAGAGCTGTGATCAAACAGATCTTATGAACAATAATGACCCTCTTAGCATTGTCTTGGCAGGGTCCAAATCTTTGCAAAGCCTCCGTGGCTAACCCGATTAAGGCCTGATTCACGGACGTATTCTTCATTTTCACCCCTCTGGTCTTGGATTCGGGATCTGAGCATTTAGAACCGTTGCTACCTTTTATCGCGAGATCGGAAGACTGGCGCCAGCCAGCAACGATAGAACAGTGGAAGGAGAGCCAAGAAAGACCGTGAACAATCCCATCAATGAAGAGCCCAATGACCGTGGTGTCAGTGATACACAAATTCCTGCCTGATGTAGTACGACTCAGTGCATATGATGATCATCTTACCTTCGCTCCACTAGCCTTCTGATATCAAGAATCAAGATTTTCTGTATGTTTTCGGGAAGTTCCTCTCGCTCGAGTCATGTCCGATCTGCTGAGGCTTGAAGTACCGTCATAAGTTTGAGGGAGACAACTGAAGTAACTCGGTAATCTTCATTCTCGCCGACCTTGATCTGATGGTACGGGCGGAGCAGTTTATAATTGTTACCAAATCCCTTCGTTCGGCAACAGTACAAAGACTCTGACAGATCATATGTGGCTCTGATATCGTGATTATCTTGTGGAGTGAATGAGAATAGACACATTGACACGGTATCACTTCGGTAGCCAAACAAGGACTATACTGCGTCCTGGTGGTACGATGATCAGAGGTGTTCGAAAGGGTACAGTGAAGTTCTTCGTATAAAATTTGCTACGATTCGTCGTCTTCAGAAAGATTTCAGCATTGAAGATACACACAGATCGCTTGTCTCAGACGCATTATGATGCCCAAAGGAAAGCGCTCTCTGGGTAGTTGATCATCATTCGTATTCGCCAGATATCCGACGGGACCTCCTTCTTCTAGGTCGATACTTTGGTGTTCTTTGTGGCTACGCTGTGTAGCGTCATTCGAGGTGGAGATGCCTCTGCCGATAACTGTCACTCTTTCCCAGCCGTTTAGCTTCACGTGGTGTCGAGATACCTCAGATCAGCCCTCGGCGTACCTCCAGTTTGGAGCGTTCTACGGAACTAATTCCGTAATGGGAAGAGCGTTTAATGCCGAACAGAGCACGAGAGGCACATATACTATGACTCCGACTATCACCGGGTGAGTGTATCTTTGTATCGACTAACACTCTCTGCTCATGACGTCGTAGCGAGCTAATTCTACGCGGGTGGATTGGCTACTCGTCAAATGAAGCCGAGTAAGTGGACTACATGTGTCTTCGCCCTGTTTAGTTCGGCTCATGAATTCCCAGATTGGAGGAGAACGTCCTCTTTCTTCCCTAAAACATTTTCGCACAGACGCTACAGATGCCCGGGTCTTATTCGGCTAACCGACCTCCGCCAAGCCAGCCAGCGTCCTTGACTACAACACAAGGTCAGGCACAACCTCAAACCGAACTCGTGTGTGGGCTTATTGTATACCCATTTTTCGCTTCAATAAAACCACACTGAGAGAGACCTAGCCTCATCATTGACGAGAGGAATGAAGTGCAAGTACCACCCGGCAGCTATTCTGAAGTCCCCGTGTTCAGTTGACGATATTGCCAATGTAGAGCCAATCATTGCATCCCTTGACAATGGTGTGCTGGACATCTCAACTCCCTAAAGTTTTTGAATGATCACGACACTCCGCCTCACCGAATAAAAGTCTTCAGAAGACATATCTCAAGAAAGTATGAAAGGTTGGTAGAGAGGATTGGATC